CTATGCCCTGTTCTGCCATCAAAGGTTAAGGTTTTGTTTTAGGGGTGTTTTTGTTTTGTTTTGTTTGTTTGTTTGTTTGCAAATTTGAGGTAGAGATGGCAGAGATTCCTATTACAGAATAAATAACACTACTGACTAGTACCTTTAAGACCAAAAGAAAAATCACATCATCCTGTTGCCCTCATTAGTCTATAATAGAAGGTGAAACAAAACCATGCATACATAGCCAAACCATACCACAAAAATGACAAGGACACTTAACATGGAAAAATCTTTATGTAGACAAACTTCATATATATATACTCATAAGCACATAGTTCAGGACATAAAAAGGCATTTGGAAATGCAGGGGCATTCCAAACAGGGAAGGAGACACAAGCTGTTAAAATATATATATATCAATGAAAAGTATGTGAATAATGGTAGTAAAATAAAAGAATCCTAAGGCCTAAAAAGCTACTAACTGGGGGAGAAAAATCACACTCCAACTCTTAAGTGTGCCAAAGCCTTTTAGAGTAATATTATATACAGAATATTTTATTAAAAAATTATAACATATGGTATATAAATATTGTGTATAAGTTGATGTGGAAAAATGTGGGTACTTTTCCACTTTCACAATTAAAAAATGAGAATTAAAAAATGAGAAGGCAAACTCCAGAGATGATAGATATAATAACTAAGATGAGAAATGTAATCGGTAACTTCAGGGTAGCAGGAAGCAACTCTTGGACTCAAAAGCTCCAGGAATGAGTAAAGGAGTCTAAAAGTAACTCTAACACTGAGGTTGAGCTGCAGAACCATAAACCTTAGTAAGTATTTGAGAATCTAGAACGTGTGCCTGGATAGACAGGTTTATGTTTCTGTGGCTTAACTATCATCTCAAACATAATTGAGTACCTAATATGTGTCAGGCACATTGCTTGGTGCTGTTGGGAGTAAGCCCCGAGTCCGCTAAAGCAGATAGCTTCATACCCAAGTAAGTCAATCAGAAGACACATGATAAGAATGGCAGGAGATGCATACAGAGGTTGTGGCATGGTGAAAAAGGGACCTACTACAATAGAATGTAATCCAAGGTCCAGGGTAATGCTGGGCTCAGAGAGTACCTGAGGTCTAGTGCCAACTCAGCCCTGAGCAAGCTGTGCATCTCAGAGCAAATCATGTATACCCTGCACTACTGCTCTCACATTTACACCAGAAAAAGTGGCCCATGTGACTTCTATTAGTCCTATCCTTTCATATTCTCTATTGTATTCTTGGTGGTCAATCTCTGAATGAAGCTATAAATAAAAAGACTTTAGGAGACAGAAATTCGGGAGAATATAAGTTAACAGCAAAAGATAGCAAGAGCTGAGGCACAAGACCATGGCACAATCCATTCACCCTATAAATATTAACTGTTACCTACTGTCTGGGGATTTCACTAATGGCCCAAATATTCTAAATGGACAGAAATGAAAAAGTAAATAGATATAAACTTTCAAATGTATAAAAATTTAAGCAAAAATAGTATAAAATATAAAAATCTTTTGAGTAACGAAGAATGCACTAACATTTAAATTAAATATAAAGTAAAGCAACTCTTATACTTCTAACAAATATTATGTCATCATGTACCACAGACGAAGAGATAAAGCTGAATTTTAAAAAGTCTGAATATCCATAAACCTTTCCCCATATCTGTCTTTAAAATGTATGTATGCAAGGGAAATGTGTGGGGGTTTTTTTCCTTCACGTATTCAAAAAAAGGTTATATTAAAAAGAGAGAGAGAGAGATTGGCAGAATTGCAAGAAAGAATCAAACCTTCAGAAATTAAATGAGACTGAGCTGCTTCACATAAGGATCCCATATTCCAAACTGTTTATTGTAGAAAAAAAATCACTGAGTGCTGCCTTCATCCATCCAGCCATCCGCCATCCATCCAAATATATACATACATAAGAACATACAGACATACATTTGACCATACACAATCGTTCCTTCTAAAAACACAGTAGCATAATAAGAGCCAAGAGGAACATAAGGACGAGTGAGAAACCATGTCTTGTTGCTTAAATGAAGAAACAAAGCTTGCATTCTCACAAGGAAGCAGGAAAGAATCTCTGTCATATGGGGCCTCAGTGCCATATTTGGCATGAATAGGATAAGCAATGTAGCATGCTGGGTAAGGAAAATGGTCTCCTTTCAAAACCTTAGTAGCCACAAAACCATACAGAATAATGTCTCTCCTCTCTAAGCTTATATTTCTTTAAGTGAAAAGACACTTACTACATAGGGTTATAGGAGAAGGCAATGGAATGACAATGAAAAAGCACAGTGCCTCACAGACTATATGTTCAATGTCTGACAGAGTAAGATCAGGAGAAATAACCAAAGTAGACATTTGATGGTCAGAGTAAGACATAAGTGGAACCCAGGGAAGGAAGTGATGATTACTTCTGATCTTGGCCAGGCCTAGACATTTTTGGAGAAGGTGACTCAAGTAAGATTTTGATAAGTGATAAAAGGTGTGGAATGGCATCTAAGAAAAAGTAAAGAGCTGAGCAAAGAGAGGCAGAGTATTAGAGATTACACCAGTGTCCCTAGAGACAAGAGAGACAGTACGTGAATTTCACACAGTGCAGTAAAGAAGGTGGGGCAGCACAAGGCAGGGAGAGTCACCCAAGAGCTAACTCACCACAGTTCATAGCATTCAGAGTGAAGGAGTCCAAGGGAGACCATTATATGCAGTTCTCCTCCGACACCTGCATGTCATTTATTGACCAATACTTAATATAGGACCTGCCCCTATATTGCTTATGCATCGAATGTCATACCCATACCCACTAAGACTTCTTCACACATTTGTCTCCTACTCAATAAGGGAATCTGTTTATATTCCTTTCATATTAGAGGGACGTCCATATTAGCTCTTCCCAAAAGTTAGAGACAAATAGCAATCCCCTTGGGGGAACATTAAGAAAAAAATGTGAAAGCCAACATATGGCTTTTCTTGTCCTTGGGAGGAGGGATTCTCTTCCAGATCCCATTCCTGAGTTCTGCAATCACTGAAGAACAATGAGGCAAAGAAAAACATTTCCAGGGAGTCCTGGTTAACTAACTGCAAAGCCGCAACCTCCTGCAAGGCTAATGTAACTTCAGGCACTTGGGGTAGGGAATAGCAGAGTGCCAAGGGCATCATTTATTGTTTTTCCACAGAAGCTCTCTGATGGTCTCGACATTGCACTTTCTGGAAAAAAAGATGCCGAAAGACCCAAAGCCTCAGCTCGCATGTGCATGCAGGTGCCTGACCTCCTCACCATCTACCAAAGCACCCAGCTCCCTTACACAGCTAGTCATCTGGGCCAGGGTTCTGACTTCAGTCCTAAAATACTAACAAAACTAAAAGACTTTTTCTTTGCCTCATTGTTGACTAGGGGCAGGGAGAGGACTAAAATGATAAAAGAGAGGCTGAACTCTATCACAGAGTATAAAGGATTTCACGCAAAGATGCTATATGAAAAACACTAATATAGTCTAAGAAAGAAGTAAAACATCGTCAAGAGAAAATGGTATTAAAAAAATCAGAATGAGGGGAGGGAAGAAAAATAGAGAAAAGGGGGCTGAATCTTCTTTCACTGCCACTTTTATCTCAGCAACCAGAAGTCTAATGTTCTTCTGTTTATTAGTTATAACACACTAGTGGCCCAGTCCATGAAATTTGTGCACATGTCCCTCAGCTCAGCCTGCACCCTTTCCAATCTGGGACCCTTTCCAATCTGCTGGCAGTCAGACATCCCTCTCACAATCTGAGACCGCTGGCTTCTAACCACTAAACTGCCTGCCTGCCTGATTGCCCCTAACCACTCTGCCTGCTGGCCTGATCACCTCAAACTGACCCCATTTCCAGTCTGATCATCCCTAACTGGCCCCCCATTGGCTTGATCACTCCCAATTACCCCCCCTGCTGGCCTGATTTCCCCCAACTGCCCCCACCTGTTGGGCTGCTCACCCCCAACTGCCACCCCCTGCCGGTTTGCCACCCCTAACTGCCTGCCCTGCCAACCTGCTCTCCACCCTCCCCAAGTAGCCTGCTGAGCCCCAATTGTCCCCCTGCTGACCTGATCACCCCCAAATGCCCTCCTTTCCTGGCTTGATCACTCCTAACCCCCTGTGCTTTAGCCCTGCCACCATGGCTTTATCCAGAATGATGTCCAGAAGATATTCCGGGAAGTCTCCTGGTAAAATTAGCATATTACCCTTTTATTAGTATAGATTGTTTCATGAGTTTGGATGAATTACTGACACTGATTAGCTAAATGTGGCATAACTTCATCCAGACAATATGGCATTATTTGTGCTTCCAATGGGGTTTAGCAGGTTGAATGTGCACATACATTTATGCCTAGGATGCTAAGCTCATGTATCAATAGATCTCCAAACTCCATTTGATGCAAACTGAATGTATTGTTATTAAAGCCCCTAACACAAGTTCACTCACATTGCTCAGTGTGCTTCTACAAATACAGATCTCAGAGAGCTCTCTAGATAACTTTATCCTACAGCAGCTTAGAGGAGGAAAACAATAGCCACAGGAGGCAAACCAATTCTAGGTGTCTTATTAGGTTCATTTCATGTGGGTTTCCCTTTAGAGTACAGCAGTTTGAGACACTTGTCCAATAGCAGGGGAAAAGTCCACTGGGGGGTAGACACATTTCTGTAGGACAATGGGAGGGAGTGGAGGATAATGCAACAATTACAAATGAAGAAAGCAGGGTCCTAGTTTTGGCTCTAGCCCTAACTCATTGTGTAGCCATAGCCATATATGGGGTCTTACTCTCTTTCACCCTAAAAGAAAAGTTGGCTTAGATGGTTCCTAGGTGTTCTTAGATGTCAACCAACTATAAGAAACAAATCTTTGAGCTACCTTTATCCAACTCATTGTGTTGTCAATCACTTTTACTATATTGTTAGCCCTCTCACTTTGGCTACCCAATTCTGAAATACCTACACTTACCTTCACCTCCAGGTTGCTTGTATGGGTTGTACTTGGGCTTTGGAGCAACTACTGGTGCAAACTTTTTGGGTGGTTGTTGTGTAGACACTGAAATGCTGGGGGTCCCAAAGGAAGGTGTAGTCTCCATCCGTGCAGTCACATGGCCTAGGGGCTCACCAGTACTTTTGGGTGGCAGCCAAGATGGGTGAGACATTGTTGGAATCTGAAATTTAAAAAAAAAAAAAAGCAATTCTTTTTATGGAAGTATGAAAATGAGGCAACATACATTAATTCATTGTTATTTCATTTTAATCTATACTCAATAAAATCTTGAGAAAGCTCTCTGAGAAGAAGAGAGAGAGAGAGAGAAAGAGAGAAAGAGAGAGAGGAGATGAAAGAAGGGAAGAAGAGAAGAAAAAGTATCTCTCTTCTAAAAGGTACCTATGTTAGTACCCAACACTCCTCAGGCAACAGATATAAATAAGAAATAATTGCTAACTTGCAGGAGTATCTATGGTAAGAGAATCTTATACCAATAAGGTTGAAGAAAGCTTCATTTTTAATAATGATCTATTCAAATAATTATCACACCAATTAAATGGTGATATATACCTAAATGCGGTGATAAGTTATCTAAGTGAGGATTTAAAAAAAAGTGTTGCTGCAAAAAAATAAAAATAAGATCACTCCTTGCTAGCAACAGAAGACCTCATTGACTCAGTGACCTTCAGACAGAGCCCAAGTGCTGACTAGAGGGTGGGCCTGAACAATGTTAGCAGAGTAACATGTACACAGACCTTACATTTAGTGGGGATAAAGGAGGCATAAAAAAAATAAAAGTAGCTGGTAAAAGAGCTAAAATGTGGAATGAAACCAGAGCACAGTTAGCTTTGCCTGAAAGCTTGAGGAGCTTAAACTTGTTGAGGCATTAAGGAACCTTCGAAAGTTTATTCTTAAAACAGGGCATTAAAAAGTGCTTGGCAACATACTTTAAAAGGGTCCCTCTGGCAGGTGCAATTCTGTCCCCCAACAAGGGGCACTTGGAACTTGGAGGATGAGAACACCGCTTGCCACTATGCGTAGGATTGTTATTAGCGCTTAGTGGCCAGGGGCCAGAGTATTCAATACCTGTAAAGCACTGGTCAGCTCCACATGACAAAGAAATGCCCTATGAACTATGCTAAATTGATACCACACTGGACCTTTAAGAAAAACTTAACTAGGAGGGGGACAAACCAGCCTAGACCAGGTCTGTTCTAATCAGATTAAAATTCACCAAGTGAGGAAAGAAGAAGGATGCCTCCTATGTCAGAGTGAGCCAATCACTCCTGCAGGCAGCCTCCAGGCTGGGGCTGAGCTCAGCTCAGTGACTGCTATTGGGGAAAGCTCTCCAAGCCTGATTGCAAGAGCTCTCCAGCCCAGGGAGGCCCGGAAGGCACCCTCACCTGCCCCCATCCCAAATCCACCCAGTAATTTATTAATTGAGCTGAATTAATTGAGAGGACTACATGATTACATCCAGATGTCTGTAAAGACAACGAGCAATAGAAATGCAGGAAAAAATAAATGCCCCAGCACATGACATGGAAATAGGGAGATAGGGTAAATGGGAAAGAAAAGGTACAGTGTTGCCTGAGTGTTAGCATCAGGTCACAAAGAATAAGTGACAAGATCTTGAGCAGCCACAACGGCTCCATCAGGTGCCTGAGGTACTTCCACTCCCTCAAAATTAAGATAAAAACCTTGTCCTCCTCAACTCCTCCTCTGAGCTTTTATGGCAATAAAAAAGATAATAATATTAAAGTGCTTTATATATTGTAAAGTGCTATTCAGAGGGAGGAGAGCAAACTGTTGGAGGTATAATTTTCTCAATAAGAGACTACAACATTGACCTGGCTGGGTGGATCAGTTGATTGGAGCATGGATTCATACACCTTGTCCATGGCTGTGGGTTTGATTCCTGGTCAGGGCACATAGCTGGGTTGAGGGTTTGATTCCTCATAGGGACACATTTAAGAGGCAACTGATTGATGTTTTAAACATTCATCAATATTTCTCTCTCTCTCTCTCTCTCTCTCTCTCTCTCTCTCTCTCTCTCTCTCCCTCCCTCCCTCCCTCTCTCTCACTCTTTCTTCCTTTCTCTAAAATTAATTTTAAAAAAAAAACATATCCTCAGGTGAGGATTTTAAAAAAAAATAACATTAATATCAATTGAGAAAGACTTTTAATTGACAATCAAGAAGTAGGTATGTTACTGAAGCCAGACACTGGCTTTTCAGTTTAGTTACAGGGCCTTTCTTTTCCTCTTACCCCCTGTATCCTGTGCACATGCTGTGCACATATACATTTAATAAAAGGTGAGTCTCTGGAAATGCAGGGAGCATTATTTGCAAATCCCTAAGCCTAGTACCATCATCACAAGGCCTAGTATAAAACCAAAACCGATGGAGAAAAACTCCCTAGAATAGCTGGCTTACTTATGTTTCTTAAACCTAGATGCATATTTAGAATCATTTGATATTAAAAGAAAAGAAAGAGAGAAAAAAGACCAAAGCCACACACGTCTCTCAGGGTTGAGAAACACTAATTTTGGTTTTTATTTACTTTAATTTAAAAAATATATATATTTTATTGATTTTTTACAGAGAGGAAGGGAAAGAGAGAGAGAGCTAGAAACATCGATGAGAGAGAGAAACATCGATCAGCTGCCTCTTGCACACCCCCTGCCGGGATGTGCCCACAACCAAGGTACATGCCCTTGACCGGAATTGAACCCGGGACCTTTCAGTCAGCAGGCCTATGCTCTATCACTGAGCCAAACCGGTTTTGGCTATTTACTTTAATTTTTACATTGATTCTCAGTCTTCTACTAAAAATGGATAAGAGAGTCTGTTCTGCTTTCAACATGACTCAAGTGAGTAAAAGTGGGGAACAAGTAAAGTTATATAAAGGTTTGGGAATTTTAATGCACAGTGCAGTTTTGTAGTATAACTTTTATTTGTACATTTTTCAGTGGGTTAATGTCATCCTAGTCACTTCTCTATAATTCTAAAGTTATTCTAAAATGGAAAGTTTTAAATAATGGGTTAATATAGGATGCAATGATATTAAAAGCAAAGAAGCACATTTCCAGAGCAATCCCACATTGTCAGCTGACTGTGGAATACTTCTGGGAGAGTATGAACAATGTAAATTTAAGCATCTATATGGAAATCACTGACTCCACCATCTTTTCTGCCTTCCAAAGCACCATCTAATTCTCTCACCATGGAGGCTCCGCTTCCTCAGAATCTGGCCAACTCTGGCTAAGTCTCTGTTGCAGATGATCTTCACAGCATCTTCTATCATTCTTCAGAATGTCAATAGTGGCCCAGTGACACCATTTCCAGGATTTATAATGAACGTTCATAACTCTGAACTTTGCTCATGTTGTGCTCACTGCTACAATGTCATTTTACTGCCTTTACTTTCTACTGATCATTTTTTAAATATATTTTATTGATTTTTTTACAGAGAGGAAGGGAGAAAGATAATTAGAAATATCGAGGAGAGAGAAACATCCATCAGCTACCTCCTGCACATCCCCTACTAGGGATGTGCCCACAACCAAGGCACATGCCCCTGACCGGAATTGAACCTGAAACCCTTCAGTCTGCAAGCTATCGCTCTAGCCACTGAGCAAACCATTTTTGGCTGATCTTTTTAAATCTTGACCCAACTCAAATGTCTCTGATGCTATAAAAATTGATCCCCAAAATGAGTAGCTTAATTCTAGGATCTTCTAGTATTTGTTTCATACTTATAACAGTCCACAGGAGCTATTTTTTCACCTGGTGATCTGTTTTAATAAGCTACAAGTTCCTGAGTGGTCTCACTATTCCAGGGCTGCCTAGTTAGGAAGCTCTTAGAAAATATGCTATGCATGAATGGCTAAGTGAATGAATACTTATCTCCTTGGTTACTCATCCCTTTCTATAATCTATTACCTTCTTAACATCCACTAGTATATCATCTCTTTTTACCTTCCTTAATTTAGCAATATACCAAATAATATTGCTCAATTTCCAGAAATTGAACCAGCTTTGCACTGCTAGAAAAAATCCTACTCACTCTCAGTTGCAGTGTTTTGATGTGTCAATGAATTAAAAGGATATCTTTTACTTATTTTTGTACATATAATCGTAAGTAAGATTGTTCTGTAGTGTCTTCCTCTACTTGCTTTACTTATTATTCTAAGTTTAGATATGAGGGTTTTTCATCCTTTTCTACTCTTTATATTAGTTTAATGATGAGAATGAAATTATGTGATCTTTAAAGGTTTATCAGATTTCACTGAAAAGTCATCTAGATATAACAATTTCTTAAATAATAGATCTTAGTCATATTTCCAATAAGTTCTATAATTGTATAGGTGTTATGCTTCTTTTGAGGTCATTTCTCAGCACTTATATTCTGCTGGAAATTCTACTGAATATTTGGGTTTTATCTCTGTTCCCTTTCAACTAAGCTAACTCTCTAATAAAAATGATGTCTATCTTTGATGCATTATTTAGATCCTGAGCATCACTTCTTGTTAGTCCTTAAAGACATAATCCCTGTTCTCCATCCTCCAGTTCAAGTTACACACCCTTTTACTTCACTCCCATGGCACCTGGAATACTACATTGTTGCCACACTCATCACACATCACTCTGCCTCTCTGTTCCTCTGCATCTCAAAATAAATTATTGAATCCTTGAGAGGAGAAGTAATTATCATTCTCTAATCCCAGGGCCTAATACATGATAGGTACTCAAAAACAAATGTCTGTTAATTTAATAAATGAATATATTTATGTGTCTGGCCCTTTAGCTTGAGATAAGTCAAATTTTCATCCCATATTTAAGTGAATCAGATTTCATCCTGTTCTCAAGAAGCTTAAAGCCTACCTCAGGGAGATATATTTATATACGTAGCAAGAGAAAGACAAAAATCATAAAGCATACAAAAAAATCAAGGTATGTCGCAGGAGCCAGCACATGGTTGACAGGGGTAGCCCTTAACAAAGACTTTAAAAGCTGGATGGTTCTAAAAGGTAAATGGAGCAATGGGGATAACGCCTGGAAATACAGTGAACTCAAGGAAGAAACAAGGCATTTTTGTGAGGCAAGAAGAAGCCCACTTGTACTAAAATGAGGGACTCATGGAGAATACTTAGGGAAAAGGTTTGGAAGATAAAATGAG